GGGGGGGGGGGGGGGGGGGGGGAGGGCGGGGAATGGTATCTTGGGGTTGCAAAGTCATTGGTGCATGACAAAAATACTAGCAGTGCCACAAACTAGAAATTACGATGAGGTAGAGTGTTTGCGGCTTTACTTCTGCCATAATTTTCATTTTTTCATTTTTTTTTTCATTTTTAATCCTTCAAAGAAAGGGTGGATAGCTACGCAATACACCCATCTAAATCCTCTCCTGCACTGGCTGCGCAATCTTCATTTTAGACCGTTTCACAATTCCGCCTATTATCGATTTCAAATTGTTTAATCAATTAAGACTGGTCAATACGTTTTTAATATGTTACCACAAAAGAATATCTTCACCCTACAAATATATCTACGTGAATAGTCGTAAATGAAAACTTATTTTTGATCACGGTTGTCTGGAGAATCGATCGATAAACTATGTAAATTTCTTCTTGTCAAATTGTTGAATGTTCAAGAAATGTTAGAGTCTACAAGGCGAATCCCGCTACTGTGTAACAACCATCAGAACTACCTCTGGAGGAAGTCTTTGATTTCCGAGCGAATTTTCCGGTATATTACTGTCTCATCTGCCTTTCAACCGAAATTCCTTTTCCAATATTTTGGTGATTATTCAGTAACGCTTGTAAATATACCCTCATTTGTGTTCAACCCGCTCAATATTATCACACATGGGGTAGGATCGGCACAACAGGGTCATATTTGGAAACTAATAGCAAAATTTCTTTTTTGGGGGCGGGCGGGAAGGGCTGAAAGGTAAGCATCGCTTTTCTTAGTTTGAAATTGGGACTGTGTAGTAAGTTCAGCTTGGTCTGATCTAGTCCCTCCAGAAAAGAGGGTGTCTTAGCCAAGAACAATGCTCAGCGATGCAGTGCACTGAAGTGTTGAAGTACCACGAGATCAGTAATCCAGCATTTCAACTGCTTATAGCCATACTAACAATCTGTAAATATTTCAACCTTTTCACGAACATAATAGAGACAATAAAAGATTCGATAATGCATCTAAAGATACATCGCAAAGAGATTGGCACTTAGAATCTCTTCGGTTCGGACTTCGAAAAAGAGTAACAGAATGTGATTTTAATTTTTTCATACATGAATTCCATGAGAATTTCTAATTCACGTCATCAACAAGTGATCGCCAAAGATTACGTGACGAGCCCAAATGCCGTCCGCGGCGTAGGATTAACCTGTTGACGATCCTCATGTTACGTAGATCATATAGACTTCCTCCGCGCAAGATTATCTTTCAGAGGGACTTCCTGCCTGTCCAATTATGTAACTGACCGTTTTCAACTGAAAATAAAAGAGCTTTCGGAAAACGCAATCTGAACATCTGTCGCTGCGAGAGAAATCAAGCGCCGACTGTTTTCTAGGAGAAAAATCGTTTTTCAATTTTAGCCATATCTGTACTGAATTTGACTTTAGTGAACTGAATCGGCTAGTTCACAATCACTAATCGATGCCCCATTACACTTTGGGTAGGACAGCATCAGCATGATTTGAAGACCAACAGGACGTAGGAAACCGTTCTCAGGCAGTGAAAAATCAATTTTTTCCCCCTTTGTTAAAACAATTGTCTCTTTGATCCCCAACAAGTCAGCACAATCTGCTGTAAAGATCGCACGGAAGCTGAACGAGAACTGAACGGAACCAAAATTACACTTGTTTCTATCTTCAGTTGGAACCATATCTCAAATATGTCTCATATGGGAATACATTTTTCTCCCAGATGTAGTTTTCTACTGTTTCCGAACCATGTTTCCACGATTATCATGGACAGTGTCGACACAGTGTTAAGATAGCGCGACCTGGGCTGAGCGGAAGAGCAGAAGTCAGAGCAATTTGCATGTTCTCTAACGACAGACAACGCAATCTCTTCGCATTAAACCTACACAAGATCAAAAGAAACTTCAAAACAGAATATACTGTTTTAGTATTTGTCTCAATTATTTTACTTTAAGGAAATAAACATTCTGCCAAATGCATTTTCGTTTTTTGTTTATTTGACCTTCAGGCAAAAGGACGTACTTTGATATCATTTGTGAACAATCGATTTGGTTTCAGCTACAACTTTAGATTGTCTAGACTGGATAGGTTTCAAGATCACGTTTGTGAAGAAATTTTTTCCCTTTCTAAGGTAAGATACCCCTTCACAAATAAATTACTCAATCACTTTAAGAGGTAGCACGGGAGGAACTCAGCCGAGACCAAGAAGTCTGTTCAATTGGTATGTCTTACATAACTTATCCATCCAGTTTTCCTCGGTGGCATCTAAACTTGAGGGCCTCGTTTTATCTAAAGAGTACGATTTTTCTTTTCCATGGCTTTCAGCTGAAACGTCTTCGGGTTTTTATTTGGGAAGAAAAAATTGGAGGAACCCAAATAGGACAAATCGCCGTTTATTGAAACCACAATTTTATAAGCAAACTTAAATTTGAAAAGTTTCCGTCGTCCAACTCAGATCGCGTTAACTCTGTCACGTTGTCTTTCTCATCACAGTTCTGTTTTCGTACGTGAAATGTCATCCCCTTTAACGTATTTCCTTCACGAAAGAGTGCATGGACAGCTTTTGAACTGAGTGTGTTGAAACGCCTCAGCAGTTGTCTAAATATTGGGAAATTAAAAAAGACACGAAAAACATCAGAGCTTGCTAATTGAACAAAGCGCAAGATACTAAAACTTTCACTAACAACACCAACAACAATCTTTATTCACACTATTCAGGTACAAAAGAAAGGTAAGACAAAAACGAAACTATAGAAAACGTAATGATAGAGATTATTTAACTATATGTTCAATTTGAGTCAGTGTGCAACAGCCAAAGTTGCAAAGCTTTCGAGTTGGCTGCTGCTTATTTACAAATAAAGAAAGGAAGGAACGAAGGAAACAAATAATAATTACGACTAAACTAGTTCACAAAGTAAGAAATGAAAACGGAAAGAGAATATCACATTAAAGATTACTTTAAAAAAAGTAAAAAAGCGATATTAGATATTAATAAAGAGAAAGTTTGAAAAAATCGTTTTCCAATTCGGAGCAGAAAATATTTCATTGTTTATACTGCCAAGAGTTCAGTTTATGGAATAGCGTCTTCAATAGCGTCATATGTTGTGAAGTATTCATTACTGCTATTATCATAATATTTCAGAAGCAATGGTATTTTCTTGGCTGAAGTTAACTCTTGCCTGCATAATTTGTGCAACTGCTATTAGTACAGTGGATCTGGCGCTGCGGCCGTGAAAATAGTAAGTTTTCCTGAACTACTATATACGTGACGATTTTAACATTCTATCGCCTGTCACGATATGTAACCGCTTTTTGCGATCAAAACATTTTTTACCGTAATGCTTATCAAGTTTACTAACGGTTCATTACGTTTTATTTGTGTCAGGATTTTTACTCCAGTTCATCCCAGCCCTCCGGCGTCAACATTTACAACATACAGGTAAGCTCTCCTCAAATGTTCTGTCGCGCCTAAACGTTCGTAATAAACTGCTAGTAAGGTCTTAGAATTTATTACGAGACTTATTATTTTGTAAGCACAATTCGCATCTACTTTATTGCTTTCGGCGGTTCTCTTTTCACACTTAATATAAGTAATTCATGGTGCGTTCTTTCAGAAACAAACGAAAAAAACAACCATGAACAGTTAAATGAATGTAAGGACGAGATACTCGCAAGCAGGAGGGAAGAAAATAAGTTCAAAGAGACTTAATTTTTGGCCTTTAAACTCTCGAGTTGTACCTTACCCCGGTTATACCTCTGCTAACAAAATTTTCGGTTAGAAGTCCTGGACCTTCTTACCCCGGCGCTATGAGTCTCTCAAAAGTACCCCCACCAACAGGAAGTTGTATCTTAACATGTGGCTCCCGATACTATTTCGGAGTTTATGAGTTATTAAAGAACGTTCTGTTGATGCTATGGTAATCTGACAGGTAAAAAACTGACAAGATCATCGTCTGCTTCCAAATGATCGCGGGGCGTAAGTTGGATAACATTCATTTTAGCATCAATGACTGTTAGACTTGTA